TGGCCCTTCCCGGTGCTAGCGCCCAGAGCGTCTGCGCCCTCAGGACAGTTTCTCTGTATTTAGGGCACATTTCTTACTTCCTTGCCTCTCAGCGTCAGGTGTTTATTTGCCGATCCCTCACTTTTAGCTGTAGTGAGAGGGCAGTGCTGGTTTGGGTATTCCTTCACGTGACAACGTTGAGATGAGGCAGAGATTCCAGTGGACAGAAGGAAGGCCCTTTTTCATGGAAGGTGGGGATTTCGTGGGCTGAATTGAAGCAGTTTCTCCCTCGGTTCTCAGCAGACTCTAACTTCCTGTTGGAGGAAGTTCCTCCCCGCTGTAGACTGAACCTCCAGACTGCTGGCCCACTCCTGACTCTCATGTGGGGAGACTGAGTGTTGCCCTGGGTAGCGTCAGGAGACCTCGGGGCAAGGGTCCTTCCTCCTGAAGTCAGATGGGTGGTCCCACAGTCCTACAGGCCGTCCCCTTCAAAGCTCTTATGGGATGTTGGATATGAGACATGTTTTGAGTGGGAGAATCTTGGGAATGTGCATCTGGGATCTGTAGGATTTTGTAGCTCATACCTGCTCCCTTGCTTGCCAGTCTCCTTTATGCGTGTGGTGCCGTGGGGCAGGTGATGTTTAGGAACGTTTACAGCAGCGGTTCTTTTTACTCTTGTGTGTCCTCTTGTTCTTTGGGTGATCACGTGGAGAATTGGCTGGAGTTTCTCTTGGCTTTATTTTCTCTTTTCTTTTTCCTGCAGAACGTAGCTTAGCCCAACCCCACCATGGGGTAAGACTTACAGGTATGTTTGAGCATTTTTGCTTGGAAGGAATAGTGACTTGAGGGAAACTCTGGTGGGAGTTCATGTAGGAATTCATGTCTCTGAGCTTTGGGGTGGAGTTCTTGCCCTCTGAGCAGAGTCCATCTCTCCCGAGGCCCGGCTGGATGGATGCTCTGACCCTCACTGCTTCATTTCCAAGTGAGTGAGGAGAGCCATGCAGTGTCTGAGTTAGCTGGTGAGGGAGGGCGGGTGGACTGTGGCACTGCACCTTTGTCCTCCGTTTGTCCCTGTCCTGAAGCCGTAGACTCCTCTCTCCCCAGGGACATCTGCGATGCTGTGCACATTATGTGCTCAGGGTTGGTTGGAAAAGTCGGCCATTTGGGAAATCATATTTCTTTAGTTCAGTTTCATGTCTGTACAGTGTACCTGGTTCTGGGATTGGTTTGTGTTTGCAAGGGGAGCGGGAAAGGAATGTCTTCTCAGCATTAACTGATTTTTTTTTAAATCCTAAAAAACTTCAGTTAAACACACAGAGATACAACATCTTATTGATCGTGTATCCATCATTACGTGTCCATTACCTAGCTCCAGTAGTGACAGTGTTTTTGCCACATTTGCTTTACTGTCCTTTTTTTACTGTCTTTTTTTTTTTTTCCCCCTAAAGCATTTGAAGACCCGTCTTGGATGCATCTCATGCACTTCGTTCCTGCAAACTTCATTATACATCTCTGGGAACACTTGACATTTGTTTACCCAACTCCAGTGGTGTTCACACACCTAAAACAGCTGGCTGTATTTCTTGCACAATGTGATAACCCCATCCCTAATCCAGTTTCTCACTTGTCTCCTTTCTGCAGCTGATTTATTGGAATCAGATTCCAAAGAAGGTCCTCCTGTTATATTTGATTGTTAGGTAGCTCTCCCCCATGACTCCCCATTTCCAGGCCATTTACTTGTTGAAACAACAGGCAGCTGTCCTGTGGACCACCTCACGCTTTGATAGTTTCCTACTTGCTTCCTGACATTTTTTCTACCCCTCCTTGTTCCTTTAAATAAAAATGATGTCTAGAGTCTTGGTTAGGCTCTGGTTCAATCTTTTGGCAAGAATATTTCAGAGTGAGGCTGTGTGTTTCCTGTTACATCGTACTGAGGGGCCACAGGTCTAGTTGCTCCTCTTTTGAGTTATGCTAAGATTGGTGAGTGGGTTTAGATGATAGCAGCCTGGTCCTCGCAATGTGAAGTTCCTGGTCATGGTCAGGTATTGTGTTGGGGGTACAGATTTGTTAGCTGGGTTGTCGCATTACCACAAAAGATAGTTCAGAGAAGGGCCCCTGGGTGGCCCAGTCAGTTAAGCATCTGACTCTTGATTTCGGATCAGGTCACGATCTCAGGGCTGTGAGACTGAACCCTGCACTGGGCTCCTCACTCAGAGGGGTGACTGCTTGAGATTCTCTCCTTCCCTCTGCCCCTCCCCACCATGCTGTCTAAGTTGGTGGCCTAGTTACTTCCAGTTTTATTCGGTGCCTTGAATCTCTGTCTCTGTCTGCCCCTTTCTTTGTCTCTCTGCTCCCCTCTGCCCTCTTTCCTCACCCCTGAAATCATTGTGAACTCCGGAGGTTTTGTATATTTAATTTGTTTCAGTAGATTGTGTTCATTATTCCTTTTGCTGCTCAGTTGTCCTATTTTTGGCCAGTGGGAGTCTCTTCATAAATTGGCATTAGTGTTCCTTTGGAACGACTCTCTTGCTTTCTGGAATAATGAGATGTCCCAGGCTCATTTTGTAAAATGCTGCTCTGGCCTTGAAATCAGCTGCTCCTTCAAGGATCCCTGTGTCTTTTGGTGGAGAAGGGTATTTAAGGGAAGGGTATTTTGCTATTGGTCGTTATTGCTTCTAGGTCTTTTTGGTGAATAGAGCTAAAAAAGACATAAATTCAAACTGACAAATCAAATTTTATGTTGGATTATTTTTTCCTTAACTTTGATTTTATGTTTGTATTTGGTTTATCTTACATTGAACCTTGGTTCCTAACAACATTAACAAAATTACTTGTTTGCTTAATCTTTCTGAACACACCAGTGTTGTTATAACTAACAGTTAAACTATTGAGAGAAGTTTGATTTCTTTGCAGTTTTTTAAAAAAAAGATTTTACTTATTTATCTGAGAGAGCAAGAGAGCACAAGCGGGGTATGTGGCAGAGGGAGAAGCAGACTCCTTGCTGAGCAGGGAGCCCGATGTGGGGCTTGATCCCAGGACCCTGAGATCATGACCTGAGCCAAAGGTAGATAGATGCTTAACTGATTGAGTCACCCATGCACCCCTCTTTGCAGCTCTTTTTGGTCAACAGAATATGTCCCACTAAGTACATACACTCAGTATGTGGTATACAGAAGCCCTTTTTGTATGTTAGCAACTTGAAAATTGAGGTTCATTCTCTTCATTTGTTTTAAAATTTTGGGTGTCATTTTCCTTTTTTTGATTTAATTTTATTTTTGAAATAAATACACACACACACACACACACACACACACACACACACACACACACACTCCCAAAGCCAAAACTACCTAACAGGGTACATTTGGAAGAGTTTTACTTCATGTTTGCTCCTTCATTTCCCATACATAATTGCTTCCCTTTGGTTTTGTGTTATCCTCTGTGTTAATTTGTGCATGTTACATGAAAAATACATAAAATCGCATTCCCATCCCTGCTTTGCACAAAATTTACCATAGTATATATGCTATTCTTTGTCTTGCTTTGTTTGCCAAACAGTATGTCTGGGGTCTCCATTTCAGTGCATAGTGTTCTTCCTTGTTCCTTTTTTTTTTTTTTGAGCAGCTAAGCAGCATTTTATTGTGAGGGAGTACTAGAGCTGATTGGACCAGTCCCCTGTGGATGGGCCTTAGGTTGTCTGCAGTTTTGCCATGACAAGTACTGCCCCAGTGAATAACCTAGGACATCAGTCACTTCCAGTGTATCTTGGGATGGATCTCTAGTAGTGTAGTTACAGAACAGAGGATAAATGTGTATGTAATTTTTCCAGCCACTGACTATATTTTTGCTGAAATTTGGATATCCAGTTCAATTTCATAATCCTAACACTTCCATTTAAAAGCAGTCCAGTTTATTTTGCCACTTTAATGTTGAAGAAATCTCATTTGCCCATTACCCTGTCTTTGTATGGAACATACTACTGAGAGTGTGTGTTACTTTAAGAGGATCCATTGATTTCATTTAATAAATTAATTAATTGCAGTATCAGGTACTGATTATAGAATACAGGAGATGAAAAGATTTCTAAAACATAGTCCTAAGCCTCACAAGAGCTCAAATAGAATATTTTGGGATTTATTTTATTTCCTGATCATTCTATTTGTTGTGTATTTTGTCCCCCGTTGGTTGTCAGAAGACTGGTAATAAGGCAATGGGAAGTGTGCCTCTGTACCCGAATGAAGTGGGGTATGTCTGTTGGAGGAGAGATGTTGTCGTAAAAGTCTCCATAGATGTACTCTACAAATATTAATTGAATACTTCGCCTTCGCTGGAATGTAACAGCGAGCAGCACACAGAGTTCCTTCCTCAGGGCATTTACATCTACTACGGGAGATGTATCAGAAACCAAGGAACAATAAGATAATTACAAGTTCTGTGTACTTTGAAGGAATCAAACAAGAGGTTAAAATAGTCTCAGCCAGGGACTCTCCTCAGGTAAGGGAGGGGCAGCTGACACAGCAAACCATGTGCCAGGTGGGGGAGAAAGTATTTCAGGCACTAGCTTGGGGTGTAGAGAACTGAAACAGAAGGCGCAGCAAGCTGTGGGGGAGAGTGGGGGCAAGGTCATGCTGTGGGGGAGTGGAGGCAAGGTCATGCAGGGCCTTGGGTTTTCGCTGACGGGTTTGGACTTTATTTTAAGTATATCGGGAAACCATTGAGGACAATTAAGCGGAGAGTGACATTCAGTACCAATATGTCATAGATTTACTCTTTCTGTAGATCAGAAGGCTACTCAAATGGGATGTAGTTCTAAAGGAAACATTGTCCCTTCTGTAGTTCAAAGCGGAGGTAGTTTTCCTTCTTGCTCCTTTATGCAGGACAGCATCGGGTCTTAGGATTGCTTTTCTTTTTTCAATAATATTCCCTTGATGTTGTTTAGACTATTACAGTAAGTGGTTGTAAGTGGATTATATACTTGGACTATGAACAGGAGCATGATATCTACAAATTCTCTTCTTCAGACCTGCAAATCCAAGAGATACATCTCTCTGGAAGATAAGAGAGCTTCTTCCCCAAGATCAAAAAAGGTCTGTATTGCCGCTGTCACAGTTTTATGAAATTAATTATGGAGCCAATAGCAATTTTTGGAAAAGAGGCATTTTCAATATATTATGTTTCTGTTACAGGAGACTGGAGTGAGACTCATGTAGGGAATCCCCAGAAGGATTGGCACACCTGGAACCCAAGGAGCTTGCTTCCTGGAAAGGCTCCTGTCTGATGTGTAGGAGGCAGAATGTCCTACTGACTCTTCAAGGGGAGGCTACACGGGATCGAGACCCTCCACCACAGGGGACACTGTGCGTTCCTTTTTCTAGAAGTGGGAAGTACGAGATTATTCTACAAGAGGAAGATTCCAGGGGCTTAAAAACACAGAGGTTTGCACCTTGGGAGCCCCTTGGAATGTTGACAACTCAGGATCTAAAGGAAAATTCTGTGTTAATGAGTTACAGAATTCATGTGGAAGTAAATGTCACTTTATGATCAATAATAATACTGAGTGAGGAGCACTATGCAGGAAGAAATCTTCCATAGAAAGACAGGCAGGGAGAAGCTTAGGCCAACCTTAGACCTACCTAATAGAGCAAGCCTGAGATAAACTGCCAGAATGGCCAAATAAGAGACTCTATGAGATAGCAATCCTGTAACTATAGTAGTCGTACAGAAATTTTTTCCTCTAAATCACGATACCAAATAGGAAAAATGATCTACAAGTGCCCCATGTGTAGGGAATTTTTCTCTGAGAGAGCAGATCTTTTTATGCATCAAAAAATTCACACTGCTGAGAAGCCCCATAAATGTGACAAGTGTGACAAGGGTTTCTTTCATATATCAGAACTGCATATTCATTGGAGAGACCACACAGGAGAGAAGGTTTATAAATGTGATGATTGTGGTAAGGATTTTAGTACTACAACAAAACTTAACAGACATAAGAAAATCCACACAGTGGAGAAGCCCTATAAGTGCTACGAGTGTGGAAAAGCCTTCAATTGGAGTTCACATCTTCAAATTCACATGAGAGTTCATACAGGTGAGAAACCCTATGTCTGTAGTGAGTGTGGAAGGGGCTTTAGTAATAGTTCAAACCTCTGCATGCATCAGAGAGTCCACACCGGAGAGAAACCCTTTAAATGTGAAGAGTGTGGGAAGGCCTTCAGGCACACTTCTAGCCTCTGCATGCATCAGAGAGTTCACACAGGAGAGAAACCCTATAAATGTTATGAGTGTGGGAAGGCCTTCAGCCAGAGCTCGAGCCTCTGCATCCATCAGAGAGTGCACACTGGGGAGAAACCCTATAGATGTTGTGGGTGTGGGAAGGCCTTCAGCCAGAGCTCCAGCCTCTGCATCCACCAGAGAGTGCACACTGGGGAGAAACCTTTTAAATGTGATGAGTGTGGGAAGGCCTTCAGTCAGAGCACCAGCCTCTGCATCCACCAGAGAGTGCACACAAAGGAGAGAAACCATCTCAAAATATCAGTTATATAGAGCATTTTGATAAGAGTTAAAAATCTTAAAACCCATAAGTGCCACTAGGAAGGAAACCCTGTAAATACCTACATTGATCCAAGAAATTTTTACAGCAAGCCCCGGCAGGACATTCTTTTTGAAGAGGCATATGTGAGATTTGCTTTGTTTTGTTTTGTTTTTTTTTGGGTTTTTTTGTTTTTGTTTGTGTTTTTTTGATTCATGCCAAGTGTGTTCCACAACTTGACTTTGAATCTGGAATCCCTCTGAGTGTCTGCCCAAGATGGGCCATGAGGTCCCAGTCATGGGTGTGTGTTTCCTGGGATTTGGGCTTGATGCCTCAGTAGTGGGAAATATGACACAGGAAACCATGATCATTGCCTAGCCTCCTGAGTCACCTTCTGTCTACACTTTACCTAACAGTTACCCCAGACATCCCCCTTTCAGAAGCTCATGCCCTTCCTTCCCTCGATTCAGGCATTCTGGTTAATGCATTTGAAAACACCTCTCACAAAGACAGTGTTCTGGTATTTCTGAGGTTATCCTTCAGTTCAGCCCCTACATATCGTTCCATAGATCCCATTACTTCTTAGCCAGCTTTACCTGTATGTCTTTGCAGTACCCATAAATATCCATCCCTTCCTAGATGGCATTAAATTTCACTTTAGATTTTAGGTGACTCATAATTTCCATTCACTTGGCGCATCAGAGAAATCACTGGCAGACATACATGCCCTTGAACTTTTCATGAACTTTTTAAAAAACATGTCGTGGTTTCTGCTAATCACTGTGTCTCTATGTTAGACTTAATTTTCTAGTGGCTACATCACATATTTTTAACTTGAATTTTTTGGAAATAGCTGAATGTAAATAGGGAGGAAGAAGCAAGCAAGCAAAGTTGGAACTTTCTCCATCCAGAATTGCCCTCTTGGGCTCCTTTTGTAGCATGTGGAGCTCCTTACTAACTAGGGGAGACCATAGGAGAAGTGGCTGTTGGGAGGAGTCACTAATAATATTTAGTCTCTGTTTCTGTAATTTTGCGCAATAATGTGTAGGAGTCCTCAATACCTTCATTGAGGATCATATTCCTTCGTTTTTAGGCATGAATGTCTATGTCACTCTCTCCTTTCCTTTCTTCATTCATTCAGCAAGTATTTATTGAACACCTCCTATGTGCCAGGCACTGTGCTAGGTGCTGGGAATACCACTGAGTAAGACAGACAAGGGCCCTACTCTCATGGAGTTTACTTCTGGGGGAGGAGACAGATGATACGCAAGTAAGAAAATACATAATGTAGTTTGAGATAGTGATTAAGTGCTATGAAGAAAATAAATTAGGGTGATGATTTAGAATGGGGGTGGGGTGGGGGTGGGGCATCATTAGCGGTCAGGGAAGGCCTTTCTGAGGGGGGCACTGGAGTGGAGCGCGCAAGGCTGGGAGCACCAGCTGGCTGGCCCCGCTGCCACATTTGCGGAGCGGAAGGTGGCCAGGCACTGGGGCGGAGTGAGCAGCGGGGAGGGGAGAGATACTGAGTTGCTCAGTATCCCAACTTTTATAGGCCCTTTTTTCTTGTCTTCTTTTCTTTCTTTTGTTCTTTTTTTTTTTTCCCCCTTTCTTTTTGTGGCTAGATTGATATTAAAAACTTATGTGGAAGAACTCAAGGAATGTTTAGAAGACCAAAAGTCCCCAATAACGAGAACAAAAAGCAACTAATTTTTAACTCTCTCTTCTCATTCCTGTTTCCATTGATTCCCACATGTAATCCTTATGCTCAGGAAGTCTTGGGAGAAGTTAAGCATCTTTGAAGCTCTGAAATGGGTGAATAGGTTCGTGGTGTCTGTCAACTGTCTTAAGAGGTTGGAATGAATTACCCGAAATAGTCATCGAAATACTGAAACAAAGCTTGATTTTCTCTTCATATTTGAGTTAATTTCTTCTGTTTGACTGGAAGGGGTTTTTGTGTAACTAAAACCTTAAGGCATAAAGGAGATTTGAAAGGAGCACATAATTTAGTGGGTGGGCCATGAAACTAGAGATGGGGTTTGGGGATCATTGCGTCCCTCTCTGGGTTTTCATCGAGACAGCTCTGTTCACAGCCTTTGGGAAGTCCCTTCTCCTGCGTGTCCTCCTTGCCCAGGAGAGGGCCAGCCTAGTTCCTGGGTAAAGCCCCTTCCAGGCCTGACGCCCTCGATGACGATTTACTGTAGTGTCTTACCCTCGTCCATGTCACGGTAGCCTGCGGCGTTAGAGAGCCGCCTAGACTTTTAGTTGGTAGGGAGATGGCTGAAATATCATCGGTAGGATTTTAGTTTTAGGAAAAATCGGTTTGATTTCTAGCTTTATTACTATTAGGTGTGTGAGCTTGGGCAGATCGCCTAATCGTTGAGTCTAGTTTTCTCACAAAATGAGGATATTAGGCTAAATGATTTCCGAGTTTCCAGCTAGTCCTAGAGTTCTATATTTCTACATAGTTGAATTATTTTATCATGCTGTTGCTGGGGAATATGACTAACACTTTTGAAGCTACTAATTTTATGTCGAGCTTTAAGGTCCATAATTGTTATCTTTGGAAAATATTATTTGACCTACAGTATGTCCAAATCAATTTAATAAAATCACTTTATAACAGGGTTCTGCGCTTGACTGTAGTTGTGTGAATTCAGGGGTCATTGTGTATGGGGGGGGTGACTTGTGTATTATGCCTATGTGGGTGACCATATAATTTACTTTTCAAACCGGGTACTTGAGTAAAGGGGTGCTGTTAATGAGGCCCACAGGCCTAAGCCGGGACTGTCCCAGCAAACCGAGTTGTGAGGACACAACCCAAGCAAGTAAGAAATGACTACGTTGCATCAGGAATAACTCAAAGAGGAGTTGCAAGGTCTGTGGCAAACTTGAGGTGTGAGTTACTGAGGGGATGGCCCCTACTTGGCTGTAGCTGTTTATTTCTGTGCTAGAATATAGGCCAAAAGCTCCCACATACTCTGCTCTTTTAAGAGAAAACCAGCAAGCTGGATTTGTATATAAAATTCAGTGATTTTGGAATGTTGATAACAAATTCACGTTCCCTGTGTGACCCATCTTGGTCATTGCTATCACCTGCCTCGTGCCCACAAGCTTTCATTTCATTTTGCAGAGTCCTGCTGTAGCCCCTGATGACTGGCCCGCTCCTGGTCAGGTGTAACCTACCCCTCGGGGAAGCTGCGGTGGCCCCTGTTCCATGCCACAGGCTTTGACACTGGTTCTGGCATCTCCTGGCTTTGAGGGGCAAGTCTACATCCCACTCCCACCACGAAGGTGGCAGCAGTTCGAACTGGCCTTTTTGACACGAGAGGGCTTGGGAAGAGCGGTCACATGTGGGCTCATGTGTCCACCATTGAGTCACCCTGGGTGCCCTCTAAGATTTAGGGTGAGAGGAAGTCAAGGCTGACTTCACAGTTCCTGACTTGCCCTGAATAATTGGCAGATTGCACCATTAAGAACTCTGTCAAATCAGAGCGCCCCAAACATCCAGGAGGTCTGCTGTGGGGACCACGGGCACCCAAGCCCGTGGCCAGCCACCTTGAGGAAGTTGTCAGATTCTTTAGTGTTGTGTGAGGTGGAAGTTGTCAGATTCTTTAGTGTTGTGTAAGCCTGGACATGATGCTTTCTGAGGGACTTCCCAACTCTTGGTTCTGTTATCCTAAAAAAAAGTTAAATTGTTAACTTTTCTGTACAACTTGCTATTATTCTCAGCCTTGAAAAAAAACAGGTGAATGGAAGACAATCAGAAGCACATGGAAAAATTCCTCAATGGTGGAATCAGACTTGAGGGGAGGGGTGGGGAAGAGGTTGACACCACCACCGGGCAGGAGTCAAACATAAATAGTGTTGCCGGGTTAAGATAGAGGTAGCGGGAGAATGAGGTTGGCAGAACTCTTACTCTGTGACCTTATGCAGTTTTTTAACTTTCCCAAACCTCAGGTTTCTCACCTATAAAATGGTTTTGAAAGTACCTAACTCGTGAAATAGTTGGAAGGACTAAGCAAACCTGTATGAACTGCCTAGCATTTAGTAGTACAACAGGAAGGAAACAGTCCTAGTGCCCTAGTAAGGAAGATGGGTCCCGTTGTTTGGAGTTCTTTTGTTCTGCTGAACCACACTGTGATGGGTTTGGGCATCTAAATTTGGGGGTAGAACCTAGAGAGAGCTGAGTGGCTTCGTGTGAGAAGAGCCAACAGAACTGGACTCTCCCAGAGTAGTCTGGGACAGGAAAAGAGCGTAGAACCGGAGAGGTCGTTGGAAGAGAGGGACCCAGGGATTTCATAGATGAATGCTTGTGACCTCAGAATCCCTCCGTAAAGTCTGGAGAGGCTTGGTCCAAGTGGATTGCTCATGGAAACAGGAGGGACTGACTGTTGTGTCCCAGCTGGAATGGGACAGAGCATCTGTACTACAATAAAAATAAATGCAGGAGCCAGAAGAGAGCAGCCACAAAGACGGTGAGCTCCAAGGAGTGTGGAGAAGCCCCTGGGAGGGCTTCAGGCTGCCGCAGGCCCTTCAGGGGCAGGGAGGCCTCTGGGTCTCTTACTACTCCTCGTGTACATAGGTAGAACACCTTGAAGATCATGAGTAAATTAGAAGATTTTTTTAAAAAATCATTCCCTTTTAGTCACATGAGCAAATCCAAAGACCCCAAGGCCTTGTGTTTACTACACATGTTGGCAAGAGCTCGGCGTAGATCTCAGTGGAAGCAAAGTGCTTTCATGGCTCAGATTTAGGCACATGCAAATGAAATACGGTGTTAGAATAAAATAATAGCATATAAAGATTGCTTTTATTGGTTTTCAGGTGAATTTATGCATTTTATAGACTCCGCCCTGTTTGTACCTTGCCAGTTAACATTTACTGAATGCTTCTGAAAATGGGGTCACTCAGAGCCTCCGCCGCCTCCCGTGGCCTGGCCCTGGCCCCGGCCCCATTCTTCTCTGCATCATGAATTATGGTGAGATTGGAGAGATTTTAAACCTGGTATCTGTAGATGTGTTTCAGGGAGGTCTTGAACCTCTTCTAATTGTATGCAGAATTTTGCGTCTCTGTGGATATATGCATTTTTCTAGGAAGAAGCGCTTTCCTCGAATGTGTGACTCTAGTCAGGAAAGATCACTAAGTGCGGAAAACTATCCGATTTAGCCACGTGGTTATTCACTGTGCAGGAACCTTGGGGGAAGGGGACGCCTTAGAGTTCAGAACAGAGGCGGTCCGCTGGAACAAATGGGAAATGTTGGATGTGATAAATGGCAGAAAAAATAGATCCCACTGTGCTGTGTTGTAAAGAAAGAGCGAGGGCCTCTGGAATGAAACAAAGACACATCTGCGCGTGTCGTTACGCCGGATGTAAGGGATCGGCTGTGCTGCGGTGCAATGACGTAAGAGACAAGTTCTAAGCAGCGTCCCAGAGCTGAAAGCTCGTGTCCCTGAGAACAGCGGGGGCTTTCAGAGGGGCTGGCGGGGAGGCGGGGGGAGTCTGCTCTGTGAGTGGAAACACTGAGGCTGTCACAGAGTTCGCCTCTTGCTTGCGAAGAAGGCAGTTCTCGCTGTAACGCTGGAGTGCGGGCCCTGGTGCTGGTGTGGGTTGTATTTGGATTCTCAAATAAACCTGTTCTGTCGCTTGGTGTTGTGTCCTTCCATGTTTGATTTCTGTGTCCGCTTGCCTGCAGTGCACAGCTATGCTAATATGTCTTTGTTAGCGTTTGAGTCAGTTGGGGTGCCTGGGTGGCTCCGTGGGTTAAAGCCTCTGTCTTCGGCTCAGTTCACTAGCTCCGCATCTGGGCTCTCTGCCCCGCAGGGAGCCTGCTTCCCCCCCTCTCTCTGCCTGCTTGTGATCTCTGTCAAATAAATTAAAATAAAAAATCTTTAAAAACAAAAACAAATATTTGAGTCAGTTATCTTGATCCTTCATCCTATCTCCAAAATGTCCTTCTTATCCCCAGCCCTCCTCCATCCCGTTGTCCCCCCTCCTGCCTTTTCGAGGTAAGCTTGAGACCCACAGGGATTTAGTCTGGAGGATAAGTCCTGTCTGCGTCCCATGGAGAGTGAGCAGGGCATTTACAATCCAGTGAACATGAGGAAAAGAGATTTTTTAAAGCACAGTGTATAACAAGATGGTAGAAGTAAAGTTAAAACATCGATCCTAGAAAATGTGAATGGGTTATATTCTGCCATTTACAGGCATTTTCAAGTTGAATTATAGGCTTCACAACTACGCGTAGAGGCTGATTCCAAAAGATCACTTGCAGGAAGGGGCACAAAGGCCGAAAGGGAGGGGAAAAACACCAGGAAGATGTTTACAAGGGGGACGCAAGTAGTGTGATAGCATGGCCCATCGGAGTAGAATGCAAGGTGAACAGCATCGATTTAGGAACTTTATCAAGAAGATAGTTACATGCTCTAATTTGGCCAACACAACTTTGAGAGAGAGTTTATGTTTGTAGAAATGCAGTGAGACGGTAATCCCTAGTCGCAGGAGCCTGTGTTGACCCTCCTCTCGCAGATACCTGCAGATCAGCCTGACCAAGGAGGAGCTGCCACTCGTGGCTTTGTTAACAGACAGTCTGTCGGTTGTCTTTGAACCACATGCCAACAGACCCTCTCGGAACATCCACAAAAATGGATCCGTGTTTTATGCCAGAGAGAAAAACATCTCGCTAAGTTCCAGAATGTGGAAAATCCCCACAGGTCACATTCTCTGACTATAACGCAATAAAAACAAAATTGCCAAGGAAGAGCCAAAAATCCTATCCGCTTGGAAATAAAACACAACAGAACATCTTCTTCCTTCTCCAAATTAACAGCTAGAGAGGAAATCAGAACGAGCCCACGTCGTTTAGAGATGAGTGACCGAGATGGCATCACATAGCACATCTTGTTGGATGGGACCAAGATGAGTAAAATGTTTTCTGGCCTGAAAGCAATAAGGGCCTTTATCAAGATTCTCATCTGGTCCTGCTCCTCTCATCCATTATTGCACTGAATTGTTGAAAATGACTTTTTCATTTTTATTGAAATTTTTAAGTGTTACGGAATTTTTCGTTTTTATTGCGTAAAATTGAATTTCAATTTTATTGAAAAATAAGGAAAACACCTTTTTTGGTCATCCAAGTTTTGAAAATTGACACAGGTGTCATCTTAAGACGTTCAGTTATGCCTTCTTACTTAAAGGATTTAGTAGTTTTTATTTTTACTCTTTGTTCTAGAGGAGATTCCATAGCACGTAGATTAACATCTATGTCCTTCTCCACTTGCCAAAAGTACAGAATTGAGATGACATCTAGTATTAATGTTTTAATCATTTGAGCTTTGAAAGTGTGATTCAACCCATTTAAGGCATTCTAGGGATGGCGTTGACCAAGTGTTGACAACATTCTTACATTTTTTGCAGCACTATTCAGATTTTCAACCTTTTTTTTTTAAGGTGTTATTTATTTATCTGACAGAGGCACACCCACGTGTGCGAGCGCGTGCATACACACACACACACACACACACACACACCCCAACCCAAAAAAACCCAAATTACATTTCTATCATGTGGGATCTCATAATAGAATTTTAGAACTCTTAACTCAGAATAGAGAAATAAGGTTATCTTGTGTACCGACCCGAGTTTGCACAGTGGAATTCGTACCTACTACACAAGCTTGTCTGACAGCGAGTTAAGGAGGAACACAGAGGCCTTTTTTGCTACTGGGGACAAATCAGTAAAAACATGAAAAGGTGATTCTAGAAGCAGCCACCTTCCTCTTTGGACAAAGCGAGATGCCCCCAACCTTCTGTGTTTGAGTTCTGGAATGCTTTGCCCGAGGGATTGGCCGTGTCTAGTTCTTGAGGAGAGGTGGGTTCCCTGAGTGCCAGGGGCTGAGGAAGCCAACCCCAGCAAGAGAGCCTGAGTGGGGTCGCATCTGGTTTAGGCAAAGAAATGAGGAATTGCTCGCACATGAGAAGTTACGAAGCAATTGATACCTTTAAACTTAGCTTACTGTATTATTCTAATCCCAAGTATTATATATTCCCTTGTTTCCACTCCATCTAGCAGGTGTTTAAGGGAATTGTCTTCCGCTACGATTCTGGTCCAGTTCATTTCTCTGTGCTATTTCTAATTTCTGTGCTGTTCATTGTATAACAAATGCCCCTGGTTTAGTTTTCAGTTGTACCCTCTGTAGAGGTAACACACCAGTCTTGCATCTTCCTAAACGGTGCTGGAGTCCTATGTCCATATAGTTCTTTGCACATATAGTAACGTCTATGTGCAAATCCTGCCTTTTTCTGGAGAAATGATCAAAATCTGCACATGTCCTGTTGTGTGATTG